TGGAGAAGATGGGGTGGAAATGAGTGTCCATCCAGCTTCATCCGTAGGCTCCATCTTCCCCCTTCAGAGTAAGCTGAGAGGCCGAGAGGAGGAAGCAATGGAGGACGCTGGGAAGTGGGCATTCTTTGCAGATAACAGAGAGGACACATTGAAGAAAGAATACACGGCAGTTGCCGGCCCCCCCCCCGCCCCCCAAGCTTGATCACTTCCTGAGAAACTTGTAACACCTAAGCACATCAAAGACCAGACCAAACAATGGATCATGATAAGAGTCTGAGCTTGAATAAAAAAGCTAAAGCCTAACTTAATTAACGTGCCAAAATCCGAGAAGTACCATCTTAGTCCTTCCCAGAACCCCAATAAAAAGGACCCCCCCCTCAAACTGCCCGTGTGCCATTTTGATCCTGTCCTCATGTTTTGTGGCCAGGTCACTTGGCGTCCCTCTCAGACCGGGCAATAAAGGCCTGTTTGTTTCTTGGGACCAATTCCTTTCTTTCTTTCTCTCCCTTGCGCTCTTTTTTTATATCTAACATGCATGATCCTTGCTTGCACTTGAGGAAATCCTTCTGAACCGCCCCCACCTTCCCGATGACACCCATGAAAAAGACAAAGACAAGAGGCTTCACATTGAGAATTAGGGGACAGTTTATTGTTTGACCAACATGCTGAGTCTTTTCCATGTTTTTACACAGTTTTATGTAAAGTCAATATGGCTGCTATTGCCTTCTGAGCTGGTTAAGAGGTGGAAACGCCACCCTCTGTGCTCCTCCCAGCCGTTCACTCTATGGGGTTGGTGAGGGGACAAGGTGACACACACTTCAAAGATGGCAGCCTGACCTTTGCTGCGCTGGCGGCTTCCAACCTCCCACTCAAACCTCCAGGCAAGGTTTTCTAAATGCACCACAGCCTGCTGGGACCCAGTGTCTGGAGTCCAGGGAGTCTGCACATCGAGAGCCCAAGGTTTTCAAATACCTAAGGGACTTGCTCAGACAAAACAACTCAATGGGTGCCCAAAACGATACCGGACTTGGGGACTGCCAAATTTTTGAGGTGGGGGAGCTCAAAATTCACCGGGATTCTCTCCCAGCTAACTAGAGATGTGCTGGAAAGAATTTTCCATCCTCATCAGAGATGACATTGGGGAACATCCATGCACCAGAGTCCTTCGCTGTGCGCACACGGTCACACCTGTGCAGACATGGGCCAGCGACGGATGGAGACCACCACGGATGTGGTTTACTTCCAACCTGCTGGTGTTTGGGCTCCAGAATGTTGCAGACCGAGGGTCAAGTATTTTTAGAAGTATTAATAATGAGACAGAACACCAAGAATGTAGGAGAAAACAGGTAAAGCAGGAGGCGAACAGTTCTCCAACTGAAGCAAACTGACACAACGACCCCAGCTTCCCTTGTCTTTATCGAAAATTGTCAGGGAGTAAATCACAAAGAGAATACAATGCAGGTGAAGCTAAGCTTTTTCTATTGAAAAGCTTCTGCTTAACTCAGGAGGGAGGGGTCAGCAAATACAATGCAAGAATCCTGTAAACGCTTAAGGATTGCCTTAGTGCTTCAGGATTAACTCCAGTTGGTACCAGCCTCCCTCATAACCTGAAATAACATTCTGTTTATTACAAATATTTAGTATGAAACTTGGCTTCCAACCTGCTGGGGGCTCATGAGCAAGTCAGCCTTCTGATTCCCTGCCTATGGGATAGGACATGGTTTAGTAAGAGGACAAGGCCTTATGAGTTGGGGAAGAGGTAGTCTGGAAACTGCTGAACACAGAACCCTACCCTGGTCGAGGCACAGAGCTGCCTGCATGGGCCTGGGAGACATGCAGACTACCTGTCCTCTCGCTTGCCTGTGGGACACTGAAACAAGCAACACTGTCCCCTCAGAGTTGTGACCTGCTGTGACCATTGCCCTTCATATCCAAGACAGAGGGGGGGCAACAACAGAAAAGGGGGGGCTCTGTTCGAAGGAAACTTTTGGAAAATCACCCGTGAGGCTGATGTTGGGCTACGCCACCGTGCTTGCGTGGTTCCAGTGCTCAGAATGCAGACTTCACCCTTTCATTCTGGTGCATGTGTACGCGTGCGTGCGTGCGTGCGTGCATGTGTGTGTGTGTGTGTGTGTGTGTGTGTGTGTGCTTTTTTCATATTTCACTCAATTTTTTTTATGCCATTGGGAACGGGAGGCTTTCCTGACTCCTGAGATCCCCAAAACCAACATGGAGGGGGAGAGAGATGATGTGCCCATTTCTGGGTTCAGAATGAGGGACTGAATGACTAATTTGAGATGAAGTCCTGAGCTAACATGCACTTGGCCCTTTCCCAGCCCATCTGGAAGGAGCAAAGATACAATACTCTTACTGGGGGTGCTGAAGCAATCTCGAGACATCCCCTTTGTGGCTTCGGTGAACCCTTCCTTTCTTACTGAAGCCCCAGCTCTGAGTCAAGTTCCTGACTCTAAGGAAAAGGACCACGAGGCTGCTCACTCAGGACGAAAAACAAGGACCAGATGCACTCTGGTGGGAGAAACCAGGCTGCCTTAACAGAATTCTGGAAATTGGGGGTGGAAACTGATCCCGAGGAAAAGCAGAGCAATGGCATGGGGCAGCTCAGATGAGAAGACTGTAGTGGGAAACGGCCCTCAGCGTTGTCCCCACTGGGCTGGGGAGAAGCCAGGGAGACGCAGTGCCAGGGCCTAGCCCAGCCCACCAAGCACTCAGTGTCTACCTTGTTTCTTACTGCCCCATGAGGCCCGCTGAATGAACACAACAGTCCACGGAGCCTTGGATGTGTGTGCACACGGGGAGGGAACTGAGCTCCTATTTCTGTTTTACAGGAACGGTTTCTGAGAAGCTAAGCTACTCTTTAGTGCCAAGAAAGGAAAAACCTGCCATCCATTCATTCACTGACACGCTGCACACCAGGGAGAGGGTTCTGGAGAGGCCACCGCAGACGGCATGAACCATCAACAGGGCCAGATGCTGTAACACGGACTCTGAGAAATCTTTGTGATGTAACTAAGCACTTCTGACATCACAAGCACCACTTGGGGGTGTGTGTGCCCGGGGTGGGGGGGTACTAGCCCACACAGGCTTGCACACCCATGCATAAAAGTACAGAGAGAGAGAGATGGTGGAGATATTCTTGTGAGTGGTTTATGCCTCTACTTCAACACATCTATGCATTATTTTATTGATGGCAAGACAATCACAAATTATCGAACAATAGTATCTCTTATTTCAACACGTTGTAGTTACGTTTGAGTTTCCAAAACTGTTAATCACAAGTTCCAACGTGAAAAGCAGGAGAACCAAGAATATACAGCAAACACACGCATCTCTGTGTGAGAAATGTGTCTGTGGAAGGGGTGTGTATACACAGGTCGATCTATATATAGTTATGTACACACTTAGAAAACTTAAAACACACAACATCAGGATTAGGTTTGCACATTGGTCTTCGCCTGCTGGAAGATGAGCTCAGGGGGCGGAATCCTGATTTCAATCTCTTATCGGTGGATAAATTCCATTTGAAATGTTAACTGTGACATACACTTTCCTAGGCTGAAAACGCCTGTGGCTGGCCCCAGGGTGGGATCAACATATGATGCCAAGTTCAGCTTCATGACTGTCTGCCCTTGTGGGTCTGTGGTCTGAGCAGTTCCGTATTTCATTCCAAGAGCCTTGTTGGAGTCCCGTCTTTATGGTAGGGGTGTGTGTGCACCACCTGCAACCCTAGAGGTGCTTATTAAGACCCTCCGTCAATGACATCCGTCAGCAGCCTGAACGAAGAGGCAAGGCCAGACTGGAGGGTGGGGTTTACTGTCTGGGCCACACTCCCCACCCCCAGCCTGACTTCCTGCACAGGGTCAGGGCCCGTGAGTCCGGCTCTCTCTGCAATGCTGGCCAAATGAGTAACATCATCTACCGGGAGGAGAGAGTTCTCTTCAGAGATTCTACGAGTCCTCAGGCTTGAGGCCTTCTCAGGAGTGATGGGAGAACGCTAGAGATGGCTCTGAGGTGGGATCCCGCCTCTCCCGTCCCCACAGGCAAACCACAGTGCTCCACAGAATCAGTAAACGAGAGCGTATCAGGGTTTCCACTGTGCCAATGGTTGGAAAACAAAACAAACAAACAAAATCACCCAGGAGGCGGATTTCCAGAACGGTACTCGGTATTATCAGGCAGTGAGGTTGGAGAACTGGGACTTCCAAGGAGACAATGCTCCCCAGCCATCTGGGGGGCTGTTCCCCCGGGCTGCATCCTTCCTGACACCCAGCTCCAGGGCAGGGCTTTCAGGTGGCACATGGCCGCATAGCACATCACCTTTCTGTCAGTCCTTCCCTCAGATTCAGCCCCAAAAGCTAACGCCTTTTCTGACCCACACAGCGTTCCCAGTCTATAAACCCCACTTCACCACAACCTGCACAGCACCCCATCCTTCCGATACCCGCCTGCCCTGCCATCAACAGACAGCCACAGACGTCACCATGCTGCCGAGAGCAAGCGTCTTCCGTCCTCCGGAAGGCTTCTCAGGGGACGGGAAGCAGAGCCCGCTGCTGGGTTCCCTGCAGCCCACAGGCCTTAATTCCGTCTCAGGACCCTCGCTGACGTCCCCCTTCAGGCCCTGGCAGAGGACGGAGTCACAGCTTCCTCTCTTCAGAGGCTGGATGGCTCAACCAATGTTCGATTTTTTTTAACCATGTGGGGCTCAGATGGGGGATTCTGGTTTGTCTGGGCCACGTGGCCCGGGATTGGAGCCTTTCCTGGCTCACCCAATTAATTGTTTTACTGAATTGGGGTGGGGAAGTGGGGGAAGGCAGCGGTGATATCTAGAGACCAGGAAGGAGGAGGTGTGTGTGGAGAGGGTTTCTCTAGAGGTTTACAAATATACAAAACCAAACCAAACCAAAGCACATCTTTCAAATAAAAATGACTACATCTTTTATCTGGCAAAAAGTTGTATACATAGGATTTAAATTTTTTTTTTTAATTTTAACAGTTTTTGGCAATCTTAATAAAGTATACAATATATTACAACCAAACCAAAAAATAGTTGTTTGAGTAACAGCTGTTAAGACGGACAAGACCCCTGATACCCCAGCCTCCCTCCCCACCCCGCCCTACTCCTAATGACAGAGGGAAAAGAAAAAATCTGCCATCTCCGTAACTCACTTCCCACCCCACTCCCTTTAGGAAGCTAACCAATAGGAAGCAACTCAACAAGCGAGGAGCTGGGAAGGAAGCCTGGCCCAGGCAGGGTCTGCATTAGCAAGAGCAGCCGCCCTCGCTGGCAGGGGGCTCCGGGGGCTTGTCCAGCTTGATGTCAATCACTGCAAGAGGCTGTGCTAAGGAGGAATGACCGCCACACGGATGCCACCCCGACTCCGCCCCGAGCATCCCCGCCCAAGCCCTGGTCATCGCCGCTGTTCCTCAGCAGATACCCACTCAGATCCCTCTTCTCCCTACAATGTGATATCCTGGGCACAGCATCACTGCCTGGACCCTACTCAGAGTCCCTTCCTGAAGGGCCTCCCTGGGGACGGGTGCTCAGGGCACTCACCTCGCCACCTCTCGGTCCCTCTCCAGAGCACACTGGAGGTGCAGTAACCACGGGAAAGCAGGGATTCGGGATGCATCCAGAATCCTCCCAGTTGAAAACACAGGAATACATGGGCTACGGACTCCCTGAATGATGCAAACGGTTAATGCATTCAACTAGCTGGAAGATTCAGAAGTTCGAGACTACCCAGAGGTTCCTCAGGAGAAAAAGCCTCCAGATTTATGGGCGATGGAGGCTGGTGCGAAGGAGTCAGCGAGACTGGTTCAGGACAGGGCAGGCTCCAGAGCTGTCATACACAGGGTGGCTATGAGTGGCAGGCATCTTGACAACACAGAACAACAACTATCTATGCACTTGCAGGCGACTCAACCAATAACATCCTACGATAGGCTTGAAAGCAGGGGTGGTATATCCACTTCCTAAACAACATGCCTCCGGAAACTCTATCAACATTGATAAATGTCGACAGCTGGAGATGGGCTTCAGGCCTTTTGTTCAGAAGTTCGCTATGAGTCGTGCTCAACTCATAAAACAATCAAAAGACAACAACAACACAACAACATTTGCAAAATAATCAGCCTCTGGTGCACACAGGTGCCTTCAATGCTTAGCGGTTACCGTTGAGGGGGACACTGCCCTAGTCACAGCATGGACAGTCTCAGCTCGGTCACTGACATCCTGGAGGGTGCGGTGCAGAGAGTGTCTGAGAAACAGCATCTGTGGAGAACGGCCAAAGCGCAGGCTATGTTCAAGTTCTTTTCTTTGGGGGGTGGGCTGGAGAAGCACCAATGAGAGCTCCTAGAGGGTCAGGTTCACAATGTGCAACCAGGCTGTTCCCTCTACCTCCACCAGACTGAAACCAGCCATTTAAACGTCTTGAGGTATCAGCCTGACATGCAACCAGACTTCATTGCAGCTGAGGACCACGCCCTGTGGGACCCCGCCGGTGTCATTCTCCCTGACCTGGATTGGTGGCCTAGTGGTAAGAAGCTGCGCTACAATCCCGAAGGCACGTGGTTTAAATCCACCAGCTGCTCCACGGGAGAAGGATGGGCAATCTCCTCCCGTGTGATTAACAACCTCTGAAAACCTGCTGTGGTAACCGCAATGGGTCGGTTCTGGCTCAACAGCTCACAACAACATCATGCACCGTCCAGCAGAACCAGATGGTCCCTGACCCCGCCTGGGCTCTTGAGGGCTTGTTTCAAGCACTGGACTGGAAGGAGGCACCCCTGGCAGCTGGCTCCAGGGAGTGTGACAGTGTGAGGTCCCATACCTGAAAGGGACACCCTACCCAAGCTGAAAGGGCCATGGGCCACATCTCTCTCTGCAGTCCACCCGCAATCTGCCTGTGCTTTCTCTTCAAGGGGCCTCAAACTGAATGAGCCCCCAGACAGCCCAGGATGGTAAAAGCACATCAGCTTTTACCCTGAGCTGAGCCTGGCTTGTGGATCCAGCACAGAGCCATCCACAGTGGGCCTCAGGGAGGTTGTGAAACAGATGGTGACTGTGCAGAACCGACGGAGGGACCCAGGTCCCCTTGGCAGGTCTGCGAAGCCAGTGGGGTGGACACCAGGCTGCCTGTGCCACGCTCACGTGCAGAGCACGGACTCTCATGATGTCTCAGGTGTTCCTGGCATCTCAAAGGAGCCTGTATGCTACACGACACCACAACCTGGTGGGTCGGTGCTCCGCCCTGAAGGATTAGAGCTACTGAGAACCACGGGGCGGGGGGTGGGACGGGGGGGTGCAGACCAGCATCCGAGCCTATGCTTTTCCCCTCTGCGACTGGACTGCGGGGCTCACAACCACTCAAGCTCAGAGACATGCAGACTGCGGGACCTCAGTATATCTGCTCATTGAGAGTCTACCTGACCCACCAGGGGGGCTCGAAGCTGCTGAAGAGTGTGCATAGGGATGGAAGGGGGCCCCACTTCCTTCTGCAGCAACCCTAACTCTCACACTGCCTGGTGGGCCTCTGCTCCCACGGCAACTCCAGTACCAGGAGGTTTCAGGCATGTGAAAGGAAGTGGAGATTTGACATCGTCTTCACTTTGCTAACATCAAGCTATCCAATATTTTTGTGGTTGTTTTTCTTCTCCTCAGTCTGACGCAGCCCTTCAGCACTTCCTGTGACACTTTTCTGCTCAGTCACAGGTGTCTACCCTGGGAGGGGAGGGCGCCTGGAAGCTGTTAAATGAGGGTACTTTGCTGCCCGAGGTACACAGGTCAGGCAGTGCGAGCCCAGGCTCCGGGAGCTGACACAGAGGGACACTTGACTGCTTCCTCACCCGGCAGCCTCGTGCAAGTAGGCGTCTATGAGCAGTGCCCTCACCTACCCACACGGCCCTCCTATGATCTCAGATACCCTGGGAAGGACACAGCGTCCCAGAACGGAACAGCTCTGCCTGTGGAGGAAGCAAGAGTGAATGCAGATCCTAACTTCACAACCCACACGCTGTGTGACGTCGGGAAAGTCAGATGACCTCTCTGAACCTTTCAGTTGCTGAGATATTGCCTCAGCTTTAGGCTGCGATGTGTAGACGTGCTCCACACAGCACCAGGGAGCTGGGAGGGCTGTGCATGGGCAGTGGGCTTGAGGGGGGGGCCTGCATAGCATAGGAGGAGGCACCCTTTGGGGAGTTGGCTCTCGTACTAAACAGACTTAACCAGGCTGAAATCCTATCCTCCCTGTGTAGAAATCTTTCTTTTTTTTTTTATTTTTTTTCCTATAATTATATTTTATTAATTTTCATAAACATTTACAGAGATTTTGGGCCTCCACTCACTCATTGCTGCACTATTCTCTCCACCCTCCTCCCAGTTTGTTCTTGTCCAAATGCCACAGTGCTTGTCAAAGCCAGTTCTGATTAATCTTCTTTGTCAGTGTGTCCTTTGCCATTCCCTATCACTCCTCCCTGAGAGAGACTTCACCCTGAGTCATAAGGAAAAGGGGACGGCGAGAAATCTTTCTTATAAGGAATCTTTCTTATACTTGCAAGCACAACATACTGTGAAGAAGCAGGTGAGGAGGGGGAGAAGCGGGGGTGGGGGAGAAGCAGGGTGGGGAGAAAAGCAGGGTGAGGGTAGGAGCTTATCTCCACCACCACTCCATACACATCCCTTCGCTATCCTCACGCACAGGACAGATAAAAGCATCACAGATGGTTAGCACTATAAAAGCTCAAAGACCAGGGAGTACAGCTGCAGCCCTAAACAAAGGAGCACCCCGAGAGCACAGGGCTGCCCCATCCCATGCCCGTTAACCCGGGGACGCGGGGCAGGCAGCCCAGGGGGTGCCTACGTCTTGCAATAAAGTGTGAAGTGGATGAGCACACAGGTACATGCCCGCTCCTGTCCACTGTTCCACTCATTTGTCAACAGGAAAAGGATACTCCCTTCTTTGCTCTTTTCCTGGACATTCTCCATCCCCGGCAGGGCCGATGCCACACGTCGGAAGAGCTGGTGAGAGAGAGGGAGACATGTAATGAGGTCTGGCCTGTCCTTGTGCCCCTGGCCTGCCTGGTGCTTCCTGTGGGGCCCCTCTCCTCTGAGCTGACTCTCCACCACCTTGCCTTTTCTCATCCTAACTGGGGGGACAGGTGGGCTCCACTCTCTTGTCTTTGGTTGACTGTGTGCTCTGAGGGCGGGGCCTGTACCTGGGTGGGGGTTCCCCCATCACCTCTGTGTCTTTCAGAGTATTAAAGTCCTGGGAGACAGCATCCTTGGTGACAGTTTCAGCTGCTTTTCATTGAAAGGGGCTGGGAAAGAAGTGAATGTAACTGGAGTAGTATCAAGGGCAGCCCAGCTGTGGGGAGCATTGTGCCCTGGGAGATCTGGGGGCCTGGACTGTCCCTGGAGTAGTATCAAGGGCAGCTAAGCTGTGGGGAGCATTGTACCCTGGGAGATCTGGGGGCCTGGACTGTCCTTGGAGTAATATCAAGGGCAGCCCAGCTGTGGGGAGCACTCTGCCCTGGGAGATCTGGGGGCCTGGACTGTCCCTGAAGTAATATCAAGGGCAGCCAAGCTGTGGGGAGCATTGTACCCTGGGAGATCTGGGGGCCTGGACTGTCCCTGAAGTAATATCAAGGGCAGCCCAGTTGTAGGGAGCACTGTGTCCTGGGAGATCTGGGGCCCTAGCTTGTCTCTGAAGTAATATCAAGGGCAGTCCAGTTGTGGGGAGCACTGTACCCTGGGAGATCTGAGGCCCTGGACTGTCCCTGGCTGTTATTTCTCTGTGTCTCTTTGCTTCCTGCATCCCTCCTTCCCTATTTCACTTAGCATAGCCTTGTGGTCTGAATGAACCATCACTGAAGTCAGAAGGTCAAAGTCATGGCTGAACTCCTGGATGGTCCTCTAGGTCCCCCTCAAGCCAGACTCCTCACTGAGCTCATGCTGTTAACCTTGACACTCTCCTTCTTCATCACATCCACGTACTTTACAGCCTGGAGGGAGCCATTTTTTTTTAAATCTGTAGACCCCTTTGAAGCCTGTGGACTCCTTTTTAGAATGTTTTTAAAGGGAGCTCTGGTGGCCTAGTGGCAAGAAGCTGCACTGCAATACCAGAGACACATGGTTCAAATCCACCAGATGCTCTGCTGGAGAAGGAGGGGCAATCTCCTCCTGTACCAGTCAGATCTGATCTGACGGTACACAGACAAAATATAATAAAGTAAAATTGAAAAAAAAAAGAATGTTTTTAAATGTGTAGAATTAATCACAGAGAACTGGATTAATGCTGAAATAAATGCCTAAGATATTTAAAATATAAACTTCCGACGAGCAACATTTGTGCTTCTTAATAACATATTAAAGAGCAAGATGGATCAGTGGGTCTAACAAGTGCAGTGATTCTGAAGTACTAACGAGTATAAATGGCATTTCAGGATGTCTGTAAAGGCACGGGGTTCGAATCTACCAGCTGCTCCGTTGGACAGAGATGGGCAATCTCCTCCCGAGAGATTTACAGCCTCTGGAAAAATCTGCTGAAGGGTCAGCTGTAAGCAAGTTCTAACTTGGCAGCACACAACAACAACAACAATAGCAACAACATTACAGTGATACGAACATATCTCTGAACTGGTCACGGTTACCACTTCGGGAACTGCTAACGCCACTGAAATCTGTTACCGACATTCATCACTGAAGGAAATGCTATTCGGAAAAGGTCAGTGAGGAGAAGATGGCATTTGTTCCAACTCACGTCCACTCCCTGCTGAATCCTACCCGTGGGCTCCCTGGTTAAGCACTGATGCCCCAAGGCTCACTCCCTTTCCACCTGCTCAAAGCATCTCTGTTTTGAGTCTAGAGGCTCCTACCTTCTGTGAATTCTAACAGCCTCCACACATCAGAACACTTGTGGAGGATAAGTCCTGAGCTCTCCAAAATGCTGACTGAATTGAATTTCTGCATCCTATGTCCAGAGCTGAGGGGAGATGCTGGGGAGATATTGTATCTTTCTGCCACACGAGAGCCGAATGGATGGACACTCGGGGAATGAAAGCCGAGGTCTTTCTTCGCTGGTCAATGTACACGGTGGCTAATGACCGGTGTCTGCCAGGTGGCCCACCTTGCATGCTGTATCAGCTCTGGAGGTCAGCCTGTCCCCCACTGAGTGGCATTATTCTTACTCTCATCGGTTCCTTCCTAACCCTGTTGCTAGGTCCTCTGGGTACCACAGGGCTAAGCCTGTCACTGCCCACGCCTGCGTCCTTCTGCAGGCCTCCACGGTCAGGCAGGGCCGGGACCCGTGTCCTCACCTGCTTCACATTGTAGCCGGTCTTTGCACTGGTTTCAATGAACATGACGCTCAGTTCTTTGGCGCGCTGCTCTCCTTCTTCAATGGTGATCTGTCTGGAAATGAGGGGGAGAGGGCACGTGAGCTCCGGAGGAAGCCGCTGGTCAACACAGAGGGAGGAACCACAGGGGCGGAGGGGCCTGCCCAGCGGAACAGAAGGTCAACACCGAGGACAAGCTTCAGACATCAGAGGTCCTTGCCCAAGCGCTCAAGCACAATTTCTCTGGGACAGAGGGGGCCCAGGAGCACACACGCTCCCTACTCCTTAGTTAGTGTCTTGTTAGCTTAGGAGGAGGGCGCTCTGGTGGCCCAGTGGTAAGGAGCTGCGCTGTCATTCCAAAGGCGTGCAGTTCGAATCCACCAACTGCTCCACAAGAGAAATATGGGCAATCTCCTCCTGTGGGATTTCCTGCCGCTGAAAAGCTTCTGGAGGGTCAGCGATGAGTCCATTCTACAACGATAAATGAGGAGAAGGAGGAGGAGGTCCAGGGGCCGACTTGGGGTGGGGTTACGTCATACTTCTGTTGCCCTATTGCCAATGCCCAAGTCCATGTGTGCAGAGCATAATGGAGCAGACCTGCTTCACGGCATTTTCCAGCACGTACTCTTAGCAGGAGGGGCAGATTGCCACCTCTTTCTTGGAGCTGCTGGGTGGCTTTGAACCTCCAGCCCTTCCAGGCTGCATCAAAACCAGCCTGAATAGCAGCTAACCACCAAGGCCGCACAGGGGCCCAGCAGGACACTGCGTGTCCTCTTTGAGTCACATATGCTTTCTCTGCGGTGGCATTATTAGTCTCATTCCCCCCCAGAAAGAAAGCAGGCAACAAGCAACTCGCCCAGGATTCCCAAAGCTTCTGATGCGGCAGGGAGGAGCTGGGGCTTCCTCACTTTGAGGAGGGGCTCTCATAAATCAGGAGTGCTGGGGGCATCAGCCTTAATGCATTGAGATGATCACAGGAGAGTCGACAGTTCAAATCCACCTGTCTCTCTAAGGGAGAAAGGTAAGCCATCTCCTCCTGTGAAGTCTCACAACCTTGGGGAGCTGACAGAGGGTCCCCATGAGCTGGAAGTGATTCAAGGACAATGGGCTCCAATCAAGCAAAACGTGATTCAGATTATCCCTGAGATGGTCAGGGGGCCCAGCCCGATTTGCCAGAGTCCGTGACTGTATTTGCTCCAGTCAGAGGCACCTCAAATGGCCCGGCAACTGCCGAGACAACTTCAACTACTGATGCCTCTGAGCTGTGGGGTTGGAGGAGAGCCCTGAATATCCCACGGACTGCCAAGAGAACAGATTTGTCCTGGAGAAGGCGCAAGCAGGGTGCTCCTTGCAGACAAGGATAGAAACTTCGTCTTGTCTACTTTGGGCATGTTGCTACATGAGGCTTTTCCCTGGAAAGGGACAGCGTGCTTGGAAAGGTGCAGGGTCAGAGAAAGAGAGGAAGACCCTGAGTGAGATGACTGACACGGCGACTGCAGAAACAAACTCCAGTGTGTCAGAGATGATGAGGACGGCACAGGAGAAGGCACGGTTCAGATCTGTTGTGAACAGGGTTGCTGTGAGTCACAGTAGACACAACAACAATGTGTTAACGAGTTAGCGTAGAACTGAGCTCCAGGGTTGCTGGGTCTGTGACAGATTACCAAACCTATTTTGAGAGGTACTTCTGGGGTGGGAAGATTTCAAATGAAATCCTTCATTTAGGAGTCAAATGCTTCACCATCTGTGCTGTTCAGGACATAAAGTGTTTAAGTGACAGGTAAATTGGATCCGTCGGAGAAGGTGAGGACGGCACAAGGCAGGACCAGGTTCAGATTCGTTGTTCAGAGGGTCACTAAGAATCTCAGTCGCCAGCATCCTGTTCCCACTGTGCTGAAAACCTATTAGTCTGTATTTTTCTTAAGCCTTAAATGCATTAGGTGCTAACATTTTTCTAAAGCTGTGACATGCCTAGCCTCACATCTCTGTAATTTTGGTAGAACCTTTTTGTTACCTTTAGGAAACAGACTGGGTATAACAGGTGAATTAAACCTAACAATCATGGACTCAAACTCCTCGTCTGTTTGTGTGTTGTAGCATTTACAAAAGTTTTAATAAAGGTCGTTTATTCCATCATGCTATATGTTAAGTGCTATCGAGTCAAGCACGACTCGGTGACCCTATGAATAAAAGCCCTGAACCCTGTTCTAGTAAAAAAAAAGAATCTCAGTCGCCTCGATGGCACGTAACAACAACAACAACAACAACAACAACAACAACAACAACAAATAATCAGATCCTCACAGGTGGGCAGGGACGGCGCATCAAACAGAGCGAGCTTCCCCTGAAGCCACAGAAGAACAAGGCAGACAGAGGCACAAGGTGGCTAAGTTCATTCTCTGCAGAAACACTGCATGTTTCCGACTGGGGCCTGGGATGCTCACCCACCACCTCCCCTCACACAGTGCATGGATGGCATGGGGGGCAGAGGCCAGCAGGAGCCAGGGGGACTGTTCTGTGCACTGCTGGGCTGGGCCAGTGAACAGGTCACAGCAGCACCCTGCTTGGTGGCGGGATGCGGTGGTTTCACGGATTGAGAGACACTGTGATGGGGACTCCCCAAGGTGTCCTCAAAGACCCCCCAAGTGTGAAGACGCCTTTCCCACAGGCACTGGGACAAAGTAACAGATCAAGAAAACAAAAATGTATAGAAATGAGTATATAAAACACAATGTATGTGAATGAGACGATGTATATGAATAATTATATAAAAGTGAGTGACGGTATAATTAAATAATATTTTTTTTAAAAAACTGAGTGAGCACAGACTCAGCGTCCCCACCCCCCAGCGCCCGCCCCTGCGTCAGGAGGCCTACCTCTTATCAGCCAGGTCAGTCTTGTTGCCCACCAGCATGATGATGACATCGCTGCCCCTCTCTGTCCTGACATCATCAATCCACTTAGAGGTCTGCTGAAAGGAGTTGAGATCTGGAGAGGGCAAGGGGAGATCAAATTGGAAGTGAGGGGCTGCCCCGGTGGAAGACGGCGTGGGGGGGATAGAGAGAAAGGGCAGGAGTGAGAGGGAGAGGTGGACACGGATCAGCAAAGAGAGCTGGGCCTGGACCTTCAGGAGAAGCCTCTGTGCGTG